AAGAAGAAGAAGAAGAAGAAGAAGAAGAAGAAGAAGAAGAAGAAGAAGAAGAAGAAGACAACTAAATAAATCTTGTCAGACCTCTAAATGTGAGGATTCTAAAACCAAGTGCTGTAAGATTTCTGTGAAGGAGTCTCCACGGGTCTGGGGCGTTCAGTCCTCCAGTCAAAAAGTTTATGAGTATGGAAAAGAGGTGGTGGACACTTACATTACAAATGACTGGATTTCTCCTATAACCTGGCTGTGGCTTACTCACATCTGAGTGACAGAGTCAAACCAAAACAACCGTGGGTGACAAGAGGGAAAACGTGTGCAGGGCACACTTTAGACACGCTCATATCTCCTGGCCCATTTGAGTCAGACTCTGTGAATTATGGAACAGCAGTCATTCATTCAACAGAAAGCATTCCATTCACAAACGCTGCAGCTAGGCGCACAATGGTTCATTATGAGTTCTTTTTGCTGAAGAGCTGGTTGCCTTTCCAGGGTAACAGTCTCTTCTTTGACTGCTATGCTCTCTCTATGCTCATTTACAATTTTCACGTATTTCTCTTCAGAGCTTATCTGATGTCTAGCAACCCCTGGTGGGGAGACTGGAATGCTCAAGCATCCCTCCCCCCACAGCCTGTAAATATCAAATGATAATTTAATCCTTGAAGGTGGAGCTTTCTGGTGCTGATTTTCCAGAATGTCTTTGTTTGTTTTCCTTTGCTGGGGAGCTGACTAAGTCTGTAAAGTAAGTGCCTGTCTTGCAAGCCCAAGTATCAAAGTTCAATTCCCAGAACCTACACAAACAAAACAAAACATCCCCCCCCCCAAAAAAAAAAAAAAAACCAACCAAAAACAAAACGAAACAAACAAAAAATCAGGTGCATGCGGTGTTCAATTGAAGACCCCAAACTGTGGTTCTGTAGATGAATTTAAATGTGAAGAAAGTATGAATGGAAGCCCATGAGATTTTAAATATCAAAACATCAAGTTGCTTGCTGTATGGGTGGTGAATGTCTCCCTTGTTCAATATACCAGAGGCTCTCATCAGTGAGGGTAGGGCAATAGTTGAGGAGAAAACAAGACTATTGAGCTGAAATTGCCAGGAACTGAATTGCTTTTCTTTTCTTTTTGTAACTTTTTTATTGATTCTTTATGAATTCCACGTCATGCACCCCAGTCCCGCTCATCTCCCCATCCCCTCATATCTGCCTTTTGCCCTTGCAACCTCCCCACTAAAAAAACATATACAAACAAACGAAGAAAACAAAACATGGAAAACATCTCATCGTGGAAGTTGCTGTATGTCACAGTGTGCCCCACAGTATATCCCTCTGTCCACACATCTTCGCTTGCAAGTGTTCATTGCAGTGAGTCATTGGTCTGGTTTGAGATCTGTGGCTTCTGTCACACCATCAATATTGGATCCTTACTAGGACTCCTCCTGATTATGCTGTTGTCGCCCTGCGTCATGGAGACCCTGCGGCTTTGGAGCAGCAAAAATGGTCCTTTCATGAGTTCCAACTGCTTGTAAATGATATAGATTTTTGAGTGGGCAAATTCAGAGCCCTGGATCTGGGGCTGGGTGGTAGCTAAACTGGGCTGGTCAGGCGGCAGGTTTTCCATATCTGCATTGCCAGGGTGAGCTCTCCAGCACAGCTGCTGCTAGTTCACAGAATGTTGCCATCAGCAGAAGGCAGGATCAGCTATTCTGCTCTCATACCCTCTGGGCCAGCTCTCCAGACAGCCTCAGGTGGCTAGAGATGAGGGGGTGGAGGGCACCCTCCAGGCTACCTCATGGCGGATGAATGGTAGGGCCAACTTTCCCATGCTCTTGCCCTCAGGGCCAGCTCACAGCACCCCCAACCCCAGAGTCAGTTCTGCTGTGCTCCCCAGGTGAGGTGCAGACCCTGCTCTCCCAAGTGCTACAGCTGTTGAGGGGCAGGACCAGCTCTTCTTCAGTCCTGATCCTGTGGGAAGCTTTCCTGACTGCTGGAAGTAAGGAGCCAGGTGGGCTGGATCACCTCTGCACCCGTACCACCCCAGGGCAGACAAGTGGTTGGGTCAGCTTCCCACCTACACACACACCCTGGGTTTGGCTCGCCCACACTGCTGCCACCACTGCCACCACTGTGCTGTCCAAGTGAGGTACAAGGCCCACTCTTCTGGGTGCTGCCACTCAGGTGAGAGGTGGGGCCAGCTCTCCAGGATGCCGAAGCTAGTGAGGGATGGAGCCGGTTCTGCACAGCTCCTGGACACGTGCGTGGTTTCCAGCAGCTGCACTGACCAGGGTTGTCCCCATGTTACCTAGTGGTAATATGAGCCACAAACATGAACACTGACCCCTGCTGCTGTGAAGCCATGGACCCAGATGTGGCCCTCAGTGTCAGCAAGGGCCGGGGCCTTACTATGGCCCTCGGTGGTAGGGCTGGCCACTGTCTCTTCGTAATGCTCCAGCTGCCCCATTTCTCTTTCTCTCCCATCTGACCACTACATTCTCATACATTGTGGTGAATCCCACTGCAGGCTAGCCATGAAGCTGGCTGGCCCCTGAGTGACCTCCTCTGGCAAGTGGGTATCGATGGGATGGCATGGCGGCCTGCAAGTCTCTGTCTGTCTTCCTCCTCCTGCACTGCTGCTGCCTGGATTTGACTTGATTTGATTTGGTTTTTAGGTGACCTAGCATAAAATGGCTTTGGCCACCAAGCCAGACATCATGCTCTGATGAACAAAGCCCTGCCACCTGCTCTCCCCCTGATTGATATAAGAACAACGACACCAACAAGATGTCTCTTTGCTTATTGCCAGAGGGTGAACTAGTTTTTTTTTAATGACATTGTAATGATTAGGGAAAGGACAATCTTCTATTCTTCACGGTAGGAGATGATACACACATAGTCTCAAGAAGGCAGCTACAGGGAATTAAACACATTTACTTTATGGTAGGCACAATAGGATTCAGACGTCTAGTAAATATGATCATTACATGGAATATCTGAAGATAAAATATGTAGGAAGTGATAGCACTCAATAGATGAAAGTATCTTTATCCCAATATACAAGTATAGAACAATGAGGAATCAATAGAGCACTATGGCCAGAGAGCAGCAGAGAGGGACCACTTAAGATCCAACATTGAGCTTTTAGTTCTCACATATTCAACTCAAGATTTCATCTTTTCTACATTTGTATTTGTGTGTGTGTATTTGTGTGTGTATTCATGGCACAGTTTTTTTTTTTTGCTAATATTTTTCTAAGCAAACATGTGATTCTAACAGAATGTGCTGAATTTCAAACAGCCACACGTGTATGAAAGCCGTCCAAGTTGGTTATTTGTAGAATGCTGATTTTCCATACATATCAACATTTGGTAATTATCATCAGAAGTATTCATGCAAGTTTCAAAGTGGAAATAAAATTAAGAGAGATTCAACAAGAGCCTCAGATGACCTTCTGGGTAACCCTTTGAGGCAATCAGTCCTTTCAGAGAGTGTGTAAGCATCATATCCGTCCTAGGAGGCTAGGTGTTCCTAACTTGGTTTCTCTCAGTCATGTGATTAACAGGTGGGGTAGTGACAGCTCACTAACTGATGGATTACCAGTAAATGATGTGAGTATTTGTCTCCCAAGTCTGTAAATTTCCCAAGGCCTACCTTTTTCTAGGTTTTAATATTATTGTCATGTGACAGATTTTTCTGGAAGGACACACAACACACAACTACTCACCTCAGAAAGAGAGCCCACAACAGGACAAAGTTACTTTTGCACCAGAACAGAATTTTGGTGAGCCAGTGAGGTTTTTTAATCCACGAGTATAGAGGAGGGGCTACTTACAAGGAGCAGGGGTAACTCAAATGCAGCTGCATCACCAGGAAGCGTTCCCCAGTGTGGGTGATGCCTCCCTAAAACTTCAGCTCTGGAGCTTTCTTTCTAGGAAGCTTGCAGGTGGCTCTGCAGTGTGGCATATGTCTTTTGCAGTCTGTCTGGTCACTCTCCATAACAAGAAGCTGGTTACATCCTCTATACTGTTGGTAGGGACCCCAAGAATCTCTAAATCTTCTATTCTTCCACCTGAGACCGACAGGCCTCTTCTCTCCCCCGGGAGAGGGCAAATGTTTCAATATAGAGGGAATATTGCAATTTTAAGGAACATATCTTGTCATTTTACAAAGGTCTAGCACGTGGATTTTCAATAAAGATATCACTGGCATGACATATTAGTTATGGACAACTGTGTATCAAACCGTTCCCAACTTTATCGAAGAAAACAACACATACTTCTTTTCTATGGGTTTCAATAAGTCAGGAATACAGAGGCGACTTAGCCACATGGTTCTGACAGGGACTATCAAAGGCTCTGCTCCCGTGAGCTGTGACTACTGTCCTCCTAAGTTTCAACTTAGGGAGGATTCAAGTCCAAGATTATACAGTGGCTGCTGGCAGCCTTTTTTCCCCCCACACAATCCACAAGGCAGCCTCAATACGAGGAGAGTAGCTTCTCTCAAATAGGCTGGATCCAAGAAAAATTAGAGAAAAAATATCTATGGTAGAAATACGGTCTTATAAACAAATAGTGGAGGTAATGCCCTGTTGTCTGTTTACTAGAAGCAATTAACAACCCCACCTCTAGTGTAGAAGAGTTTAGAGGGCTATGATTATGTCTATTGGGAATAACGGAGACTAAGTACAAACCATTACAAATCACATACATCTCTGATGGGAACCTGATAACATTTTAATTTAACCAATCCATGCTTCTCAGGGTGTAGCAAAAGTTAACATAAACGCAAGCCACCCTGACTCCAATACTCCACGTTTTCTCTTGTATATTAAGCTATAAAACAATGTCATACATTGGTATCCATTTATAAAATTGTTTCGAAACAGCTAAAATAAAGAAATATGGTTATGAAAATGACTCAGCAAAATAATTGTAAGTTTATGCAATAAAGATTTACTAAGTATCCTATGCCGTGGAGTGCTGAGATCCCTGCCACTCAAGGGTAATAAACAAGATGTCTTTATTAGAAGAATTAGTAATTTGAAGGTGAAAACAAACTTAGAAGTACATATAGAAATATAAAATGGTTAATAGATGTTAGAAAAACGGAAATTAGAGAACGGAGAAGCCCCAGCTAGCTCTGACTGTCAACTTGATGCAGCCTAGAGTTCCCTGAGAAGAAATTGAAAAATGAAAGGATTTTACAGATTAGATTGGCTTTTGGGTATATCTATCAGGGATTATCTTGATTGCTAAATGATGTAGAAGAGCCCAGGCCACTGTAGGTGATCTTAGGGTGAGGTCCTCAACTCTGTCTTTTAAAAGCTAACTGCATGAAAGCTGCCTTTGAGCCAGCTGTCAAGGAGCATATTTTGAGATTTCTGTTGAGCTCTTTTGGCTGGTACAGAGGTAAAGCTGTGTGGAGTAGCAAGCCAGTCTGCCTTTAGTTCCTCTTTGGATTTCCTCACTGATAGGCTGTGTTTTGGAATTGTAACTGCAATAAACCTGTTCCGAAGTTGCTTTTGGTCAGTGGTTTATCACAGTGACAGAAATTAAGCTATAATACAAGAGAGTAAATAATACAAGTGACATTTGAGATAAGCAGAGAAATCATAGATGAATCATTAGACAAGGTTGAAAGTTGAGAGTAAATAATACTCTGTGTAGAGAGAAGAGCATTTTGAAACAATTTTTTAGGATAGTCTAATTTTAACATGTGATTTCTTTTACGATCATCTACTACTAGTTATCTAAACTTGGGGAAGTTTTCAACCGTCATGGACCCAACTTCATCTATAAAATGTGTATAATAACAAAGTCCAACTCACGGCGTTATTATAAAGATAAATGAAAATACAGTTGAGTGAACAGGAATAGAAAGCCCTCAGCACAGTATGTATCACATTATGAGTCGTCGGAGATTTATCTATGATGACCTGAAAGGGCATGATTTTGGCAAGATATTTTGGGAGACATATTTACATAGAAAAGTTATCTCTGACTGTGGAATTTTAAGTAACTTAGTAGTTTTGTTTAGGATTTTAGACTGACCAGATATTGGCATCTCTCTGACTCTGGTCCAAGGATGTAGAATTGCCTACTACAATTACAAATTTAAAAAGTTTTAAATATATGATGAGACTTTAACAGTGGAAGAAGACTGTTCATGTTAAACGATGGTAAGGAAGGAAGCTGGAGGAGCGAATCTAAGACAGCACAACAAAGAATGAGTGCAAGCTAACTGGGTCTGGAGTTTAAACAGCTATGGAATAGACCGCAGTCTCAGATGAGTATCAAGACTTCCAAATCTGATCTTCTTAGCAAAACACGTATAAAATAATACTTCATTCTTTATAAAGTCGAAGTGGAAAATATTTACAACTGGACCGAAATCTAAGCATAGAGGAAGGATACCTTTACTGTGGATGAAAAAAAAAAAAAAAGCCTGTGTGAGAAAAGCAGAGTCTGTTTCAGGAGAGCAGGTAAGTTAATTCTATGGTTCTTCAGCCATTGGTAGCTGCCTTTATAGTACTAAGGGTGAATTCTTTCCCACCGAGCAGGCCCTAAGTTCTATTAGACAAATGTTGGCTACCCATACAATAAAAGTGCCACTCTTACACCAAGCCTAAAGAATGTCTGAGAACCTGCCATCCGTATTGTTTCTTGGCTTATGATTGAACTATACAAATTTCATCAGGTTAACAAACATGATTTTATAAATAGTGAGGTTTGAGTGTATTTTAAAAATTGCCTACAATTCAGTAAACAGAGTAACTCACATTCAATGACACAAGCTAGAAGGCCTTATAATAGTTCAAATATAAGAAGCTCAACAATACAAAAAGTTAATGAGCAAAATAATCAAAAAAGTTGTCAAGGTTGGAAACTGCTATAATTGAGAAAACTCAGTGGATAAGTCACAAAGCAGAAACACTAGACGTATGAAAAATAATTAAACACATTAAAACATTTTCAAAACAATTAGTGCTAAAGGTAGACTTAAAGAAATTGTCCAAAATACACTATTTTAAAAAGAGTGTCAGAAAGAATCACATGGTACATAAATCCAGCATTATTTCACAGATTTTTCCAGAAAGAATATAGGAAATGCAGAAGAGGAAATACTCAAGACAGATTACCTTTATATTTTAAAAGGAGTTTTATCCAGCTCATAGCTTTGCAATCTTAAAAGTCCAACTAGCACCTTGTAGGGTATTATGAGGGCCAGGTTTAGCTCTGTAGTATCACTGCAGAGGTCAGCACTGGGAATGCAAGTGATAGGGGAGGATTGCTGTAAAACAAGAAGCCTGAGGAAGAACAGAGTCCTATGGTCCTTTCTGAGGATAAGTCTTCAGCTGACTTCATGACCTCCCGTCAAGCCTTTGTCTTGAAGGTTCCAGCTCCTATACCTGAACAAGTGAGAATCAAGACTCCAAAAGGTGAACCCTTGGGACAAAGCGCATTGAAGTCACAGCGGCACACACTGCAATAAAGGCACAGGAGTCAAGGACGAGGACTATACTAGAGTACCTGGAGGAAATGAAAATACCAGTTAAGAGAAAATTTTCACAAAGAAATTTGGCTATTACAAATAAATGACTTACGGGTGTATGTTAGAAGTATGTTTAGTAAACCGAGCAATTATCCGTGTATGTATGAAAATATGTAGCTTTATTTTTCTTTCTGAGACTGTGTGACCATACTTAACATTACACATTCAAAGAGAGTCTATTTTCTTGAAAAGTTTGTGATTTCATTTTACTTTATAGCTGAATAGTATTTCATTTACCATATGTTTCCATTTTTATTGTC